TTGCTCAGCAATGTGCTAACTTGGCGCTATATTTCACATTTCAGTGTTTTTGGTTTGATTATATTATTGAATTAAATGTATTATTATTATATTATTATTTTTTATGATTATTTATTAAATTATAATTTATGATTACGTTTTTCAAATTTTATCATACCCGGAATGTTTACTAGACTCTTGTCCGGACAGATTTCAGTGAGTTATTCCTAAGAATTACAGGCCTACAATAAAAAAGCTACATATTTCCATGCAAAAAAATGGTACCGCTTTCAGCACCAAAAATCGGAAAGAATCATACCGCCGAGGAGGTTAAAGAAACATTTTTTATTTGATGATGTGTAGTCGGACATTTCTGATCTTTTGATTTGGACTAAAATTAACTGAGTCAACCTAAGTAGAGGGTTATATATTGCTAGATCTCTAGCTCCTTTACAGGTCGTCCTCTTTAGTAGAGTCAACTGTAAATGATGGCTCTAGAATTATTCCTCTCATAAAAATGCATGTTACTTGCTAGGGAGAGAACCTCTGAGGGGAATGGAGGATGGAAAAGGATCTGGGCGTCCTAGTAGATGACCGGTTTAGTAATTGCATGCAAGCCAAGCTGCAGCAACCAGGGCCTGCAGACTATTGTGCATTAAAAAGGGTATTTTACTTGAGACAAAACCTGTAATTTCCACCTCTTTATAAAACTCTGGTTCAGCCACATCTTGAGTATGCTGTCCAGTTCCGGTTACCAATCCTGAGGAAGGATCTGCTTGAACTGGAGAGAGTCCAGAGAAGGGCCACAAAGCTAATAAGAGGACCTCCGTAATGAGGAACAATTACAAACTTTAAACATATCCTTCCTGTAGAAGAGATTATTAAAAGGTGATATAATCACAATATACAAATCTCTAAATGGATTCTTTTTAGCATTGGGAGAAAAACTATTTAGTCTTCGGATTCATGAAGAAACACGTGGCCCTCTCAATAAGCGGTTTAACCCTAAACTGTGTAAGTAGCGCTGTACTGTTAGAGCGATAAGGATGTGGAACTCCCTTCCACAGTTGATGTCAGCGAGGAGTGTCAAATAATTTCAAAAACCTTACTGAGCGCAATATACGAGGAAATGGGAAATGGTAGTCACATAAACACACATGCAAATCTTGAACCAGGGTGGATTTGATTTTAAATCCTGATTTAACCTTCCTAGTTGCTAGTGGTAATCCCGAGTGTAGCTCGGGGGTTAATTTTCAGTACCAAAATCGGTAACCCCGAGCCGCACTCGGGATTACTCCATAATGCTTCTCCTGCTTCCCCCCCCCCCCCCCATCCCCCACCCTACTTGTCCTGCGATCCCGCGATGTCCTCCGGCCGATGCCGGCATCCATCTTCCGGGTTCTGTTCCCTGCGAGCGCTGGTATGCACGGGGGCAGAAACGGCGGGATATTCAAAAAAAGTAAAAATATGACATACAATACATTGTAATTTGTTAGGAATTCATTCCTGTATCAAACCATTTCACATACATTTTGTCCCGAGTGCTTTGTCCGGCGTCCTCCCTGCACTTTTACTGTTCTTTCTGCCTGGAAACTTGAGAACGTCCATTGCGTCCAAAAAGCGTCCCTTTAGGCCAAAAGCGGTTTTAGACCGGCTAGAGAACAGCGATAGTAAATCAGAACCACTTGCAGAATTGAGTGATAATGATTTGTGGTCATCTGACACTGACATAATTGAATTAAATGTATTATTATATTATTTTTTTTATAATTTATTATATTTATTTTATGTGTTTATCATACCCAGGATGTTTACTAGACTCTTGTTTGGACAGATTTAAGTGAGTTATTCCTAAGAATTACAGGTCCACAATATAAAACAACAAATTCCCATGGAAAACAATGTACCGCTTTGACATTCAAAAATATTGATTAGTTAGACTGCCGAGGAAGTTAAATCACTAGTGAAAAGACTCTATACAAATCATAATTTTTAAAGAGCAGCTGTCATCTCTGTCCCGCAGCGGCTCCTCCTCTGACCCGCTGTTGATTCACCGACAGTCCCATTCACTTTAATGGGACGGCTGGTGATGCGGCAGGGACACAACAAGGTGAGGGACGTGGCGGAAGCAGGTGAGTGGATGCCCGCTAACAGGCGCTGCCATGATGGATCTAAAATGACAGGTGCCCTTTAAATGTAAGGACTCCGACTCATTCTTGCTGGTAGTTAGAATCTTTAATATTTGCAAACCAAATGAAGGTTTCCTTTTTAGAATAATAAGCTGTCAGGTTAGTAAAACGGCGATATCAGAACCGATTTTAGGGTAATAGGTTCATCACACATAGCTGGAGAACTAATCAAATTCTTTTATTTCATTTTTCTTCTCCTGGTTCCTGTGAAATTGTGTGAAGGCATCAATGCAGTGCATGTGATCTCAGCTTGTAGAGCTTGGATTCATTGAATGAGTTTACCAAAAATGTAAATATTGCAGAATATACAGCCTCATGTTACATAACTGAGCTCCATTTCATGCTGAATAAACTAAACTATTAATGTATGTTACATAGAAAACTTTTAGATAGATTTTTACTCCAAAAGCATTTTGTTAAAATAAATTTGATAAAAATAAAAAAAATCTGATTTGAATTAAAAAAAAAAAAAAATCCAATTTAACTAGTTGCCGACCGCAGATAGCCAAATGATGGCTGCACCGTGGCTGGCCAGTTCTGGGAGGGCGTCATATGACGTCGTCCCAGAACGTGCTCTCCTGTGTGCCCCCGGCGATCTCCGTGATCGCTGTGTCCTACGGACACAGCTGATCACGTGATGTGGTAAAAGGCCAATCACAGCTGTCCTTTTACCACGTGATCAGCCGTGTCTAATGACACGCTGATCACAGGGAAATGCAATTGCCGGTTCTCGGCTGCACTTTCCTCATGCTGTCAGAGCGTGAGGAAAGTACTGCCGAGAACCGGCAGTTGTCAGAGCAGGGATCCGCACCGATCATCAGGGCACTGATGATCAGTGCCCTGATGATCGGTGCCCAGCAGTGCCACCCAACAGTTCTACCCAGCAGTGCCACCCACCTGTGTCCATCTGTGCAGCCCAGAAGTTGCGCCAGTCAGTGCCCAGCAATGCCACCAGGCAGTGCCGCCAGTCAGTACTGCCTATCAGTGCTGCCTAACAATGCAGCCTCATCAACGCACATCAGTGAAGGAACAAAATTACCTATTTGCAAAATTTTATATTAGAAACAAAGAAACTTTTTTGCTCTTTTTTTGTTTATAGCGCAAAAAGTAAAACACCCAGCAGCAAGTAAATATCACAAAAGAAAGCTCTATTTGTGAGGGGAAAAAAATTATAAAAATTGCATATGGGTACAATGTTGCATGACCGCGCAATTGTCATTCAAAGTGCTACAGTGCTGAAAGCTGAAAATTGGCCTGGGCAGGAAGGGGGTATAATTGCCCGGTAGGCAAGTGGTTAAGTAAAAAAAAAAAAAAAAAATCTAATTTTTTTTTTTTTTTCCCTCCTTCTTTTTCTTTTTCTGTAATCATCAATTGTTATCCACCCTGGGTTGTACTGCAAGGACTGGCATCTTTATTCAATCTTACAAACCATGTAACTGTGTAAATCTGATGTGCGTGGTGATAAGCAACATGTATTTTGCATTTGTCTATGTACATGTGTATGCTGTGTATGGGTCTTTTAAACTTTTTTTTTTATTTTGTACCTTTTTTTCTATTTTTTTCCCCACTTACCTATGTTGCTATCATCAGGGGGCTGATAAGTACCCTGTGTGATTGAGCATTTTGAATAACAGGTAATCTTTATAAAAAAAAAAAAAAAATCAGGGGTCTGCTCTGTCTGGTCCTGGGCTCCCAGGAGAAGCTAGAGGTTAAGGCCACAGAAAAAGTATAGCCACCGGTGCCGCTCACAGTAAAACTCACAGTTGCCACCAGGGGTGGACTGACAACTCATGGGGCCCCCGGGCAATAGGGGATCATGGGGCCCCTGTGTCCTTGCCCAAACTCAAAAAAGTCTATGAAAAAGGTACCAGGGGCATCTCATGGGGCCCCCTACTGACCCCGGGGCCCTCGGGCAGTGCCCGAGTTTCCAAATGGTCAGTCCGCCCCTGGTTGCCACCAACATAGATACATGGCAGGAGTAAATGGTTAAACCAGCAGCAGCTGTCTTGTTCTTTATAACTGCCATTTTCCTCAGACGGGAAAGATGCAAATATGATTTATTTCATTACCACATATTTTATTCAGTCAAGGTCAATGCTGACCCGTGACTGGGACGTTTCCGGCAATGTATTATTACATCGTATACACGTGGATTGGAAGGAATACATATCTGATTTTATTGGAGGATTTGCAGTCCACATTAGTTTCCCTTTGCTTGCTTTTTACAGAGGACGTGACTTTTTTGCTTAGTTTTTAACTTTTTTTTTTTACATCTGGTAACGCCGGCCTGTCAGGCGAAGCTGCACCGTGTTTGTTCTTGTAACAACATGCATCAGTCTCCTGCAATGAAGGCAGATGCTGCTGTTCTGCACATAGCAGGCATGGATGAGGATCGTGCCGAGCAGGGTTCGGATCTTGGTCACATTGTAACGTCACGGGTACACAATGACACAGCATGTTGTGACCTCGGTCACCGGGTCTCTTCCTGTATCTGCCCCGTTTCTCACTTTTCATAGGATGACTCATTGTATTAGCATTGCTTTCATTACTCCGAGTGTTGCAAGGTCGTAGAGTGCTAGATTTCAGGTGACGTAATAAGGCCCTGGGATTCTCCTGCTGTTCTCTCATTGACACTGCAGCCTGTTATCATTCCTGCTAATCTAAAGCACACGCCTGGAATGGGAGTGGTCCTGAGCCACTGATTTATGGTGAACTACACAAAAGATTTGTAATAAAAAATCACTACTCCAAGCACGTAAAAAAGTTACATTTTGAGGTAATTAAAGTGGACCTAGCACTAACTATATTTTAATATTTTAAAGTGTTACTAAACCCCGAACCCTGCATTCACTATATCCGCTCTCCCCGCACCCCGCATTCACTATTTCTGGTCTCCCCGGACCCTGCATTCACTATTTCTGGTCTCCCCGGACCCTGCATTCACTATTTCTGGTCTCCCCGGACCCTGCATTCACCTGGTCTCCCCGACCCTGCATTCACTATATCTGGTCTCCCCGACCCTGCATTCACTATATCTGGTCTCCCCGAACCCTGCATTCACTATATCCGCTCTCCCTGCATCCTGCATTCACTATTTCTTGTCTCCGGACCCTGCATTCACTATATCTGGTCTCCCCGGACCCTGCATTCACTGTATCTGGTCTCCATAAACCCTGCATTCACTGTATCTGGTCTCCATAAACCCTGCATTCACTATATCTGGTCTAACCGGACCCTGCATTCACTATATCTGGTCTCCCCGGACCCTGCATTCACTATATCTGGTCTCCCCGGACCCTGCATTCACTATATCCGGTCTCCCCGAACCCTGCATTCACTATATCTGGTCTCCCCGGACCCTGCATTCACTATATCTGGTCTCCCCGGACCCTGCATTCACTATATCCGCTCTCCCTGCATCCTGCATTCACTATTTCTGGTCTCCCCGGACCCTGCATTCACTATATCTGGTCTCCATAAACCCTGCATTCACTATATCCGCTCTCCCCGGACCCTGCATTCACTATATCTGGTCTCCCGGACCCTGCATTCACTATATCTGGTCTCCCCGGACCCTGCATTCACTGTACCTGGTCTCCCCGGACCCTGCATTCACTCATATCTGGTCTCCATAAACCCTGCATTCACTATATCCGCTCTCCCCGGACCCTGCATTCACTATATCTGGTCTCCCCGGACCCTGCATTCACTATATCTGGTCTCCCTGACCCTGCATTCACTATATCTGGTTTCCCTGGACCCTGCATTCACTATATCCGACTATATCATGTCGGAATAGCTTTTTCTACTTCTATGGGTGTCTTTTCTCTGGCCACGCCCATGCACATTTAAAGGTTTTTTTTTTTTTTTCTTCAAATTGTCATTTTCGATTTCGGGCAGCAAGATTGTGTCGGTAGAATACGCAGGTCTTATCTAGCACTCTTTGTGAATGTTGTAACAATTCCTCTGTTTCCGGTGTGTAGCAAACGGTATATCTTTATGGAGAAGTAGGCCAGGCCCCAGAAGAGGTAATCATTGTGCAAGAATAATGAAGTCTTTCATATCTTCCTCAGGAAATATTTCTGCCTTTCCCAGTGGAAGGTGCCTAATTGTTTTAATCAGTCAGAATTCATTACTGTACCACAGGCAGGCTGCCTGAACTCTTATCAGAGTCTGAATAGAGCAATAAAGTGTTACTAAACCCCGGACCCCGCATTCACTATATCTTCTCTCCCCTGACCCTGCATTCACTATATCTGGTCTCCCCGGACCCCGCATTCACTATATCGTCTCTCCCCTGACCCTGCATTCACTATATCTGGTCTCCCCGGACCCCGCATTCACTATATCTGCTCTCCCCGGACCCTGCATTCACTATATCTGGTCTCCCCGGACCCTGCATTCACTATATCTGTTTTCCCCGGACCCCGCATTCACTATATCTGCTCTCCCCGGACCCTGCATTCACTATATACGCTCTCCCCGGACCCTGCATTCACTATATCTGCTCTCCCCGGACCCTGCATTCACTATATCTGGTCTCCCCGGACCCTGCATTCACTATATCTGGTCTCCCTGGACCCTGCATTCACTATATCTGGTCTCCCCGGACCCCGCATTCACTATATCCGGTCTCCCCGGACCCTGCATTCACTATATCCGCTCTCCCCGTCCCATTCACTATATCTGGTCTCCCACAGTACACAGAACTTGGAATTGCAATTATTTTAGTAAATCTAAACTGCTAGATTCCTTTTTCTCATCAGCAGTTAGAGCAGTTTCCAGCTGAGCACTGGTTAGAGTTTGTAGGAGGAGTTTTCATTCTGCTCTGATTGTCTATGATGCTGCATAACCCCTGACCATCTGCACAGTGCTGATTGGCCCTGTGCTGATCACATGCACTCTCCCAAAGAAAGAAAAAAAACTCTCTAGCAATAGACACTAAACTGAGCATGTGCAGAATGACTCCTAGAGCTCTGTACTATCAGCAGATGGACTGAGGACACTGCCTTTCTTCTCTGATCCTCCCCTTCTTCTAGTGTCCTCCGTCCATCTGCATATGCTCAGTTTAGTGTCTATTGCTAGAGTGTTGTTTCTTTCTTTGGCATATGATCAGCACAGGGCCAATTGAAATGGCATTGATTTCAAAGTCGGATGTCAGTGTGATTTCAGCTGCGACTTCTAAGATATCTGTGTGACTTCATGCACAGATATCAATGCAAGTCACAGAAGAAGGGGGCACTCTTTACGTCTGGAGGAAAAGAAATGTAATCTCCAAACACGGAAAGGTTTCTTCACAGTGAGAGCTGTGAAAATGTGGAATAGACTTCCTCAAGAGTTGGTTGTGGCCAGCTCAGTGGATTGCTGTAGGAAAGTCCTGGATTGTTTCTTGGATACACAGAATATAACTGGATATAACATTTATAGGTAAAGTAGATCCAGGGAACATCCGATTGCCTCTCGGAGGATCAGGAAGGAATTTTTTTCCCAGCAGGAGCAAATTGGATCATGCTTTTCTGGTTTTTTTTGCCTTCCTCTGGATCAACTGTGGGTGTAGGATTATAACTTTTTTTTTTTCTTTGGTTGAACTGGATGGACTTTTGTCTTTTTTCAGCCAGACTAACTATGTAACTATCTAAGAAATCGGCAAAAGTAGTGCAAGAACTACTTTTCAAAAAGGGTGCAATGAGTTGAACCGATTGTAACGATTCCATTGCTGATCATAGGGTGCGGCTTCTCATGCGATTTGATATTGACAGGTCACATTGGTGTCAACCAGGGCTAACCCCACCCTCTTCAGTGACTGACAATGCTGCTGTCTAAGGATGGCTACTTTGCTTGTCCATAGATACAGCGGAGGAGTGAATGTTACCACCATAGGACAGGAGGTATGTTGCTAGTCAATCACCAGGTGAAAATAAAGGAATAAAAGCTTGAGAAAAAGAAAACTAATGCAGCCACCACATCCAGTAATTGGAAAGTCACAGTATGTTACATTATTGTTTTGGCGTTTAGTTTGCAGTTCTTCATTAACCACTTCCAGACCGGACACTTTTACCCCCTTCCTGACCAGGGCAATTTTCAGCTGTTCAGCGCTATCACACTTTGAATGACAATTGCGCAGTCATGCAACACTGTACCCAAATGAATTTTTTACCATTTTTTGGAGACAGATAAAGCTTTATTTTGGTGGTATTTATTCACCGCTGGGATTTTTATTTTTTTTGCTATGCAATTGAAAAAGTCCAAAAATTTAGAAAAAAAGTGTTTTTTTTAATAAAATTTTGTACATAAATAATATTTCATTATAAATCTTTGCCAAAATGTATTCCGTTATCTTTTTAGTAAAAAAAAAATCCAAATTAGTTTATAACCAAAAATTATAATTTTTAAGCATTTTTTTTACATCTTTATTTTATTTTTGTATATTATTTTTTATTTTTATTTTTTTTTACATACTGTCACCCTAGCAGTACAGTGTCACCATGGTGACACTGTACTACTTGTGGGGGGTGATGAAGATTTTTTTTTTTTTTTTACACATTGCTTTTACACCCATATAAGATGTAAAAGCAATCATTTCTCTTTCTCTTTGTCTGCATTCTTGCACTCATTGAGAAGTACTGAGTGAGCTGTGATTGGTCAAAGCTTGTCACATGGTACAAGGCTGTTGTGAATAGCCTTGTACCATGTGACCTCTGTGATCATTCACAGATTTCACACGTAGTAAGCAATGATGACACAAGTGACATCTTGCTTACTACTTTGCATGTGATCACTGATTGGCCAATCAGTGATCACATGATCGGGACCTCGTACAGAGGTCCCGTCCGACGATCGGTGTTTCACTGTGTCCGGAGGACACAGCGGGCACCGGATCGCGGTGCTGCGTGCTCCGAGGGAGCGCGCACAAGCAGGGTGCTGGGAGGCCGTTTATAAACGGCCACCCGACCCTGCACTGCCACCGTCTGGCCGTTTATAGGCAACGGCCGGTCAGGAAATGGTTAAAGTAAATCCTGGCATGAGACTACAGCTATGCAAAATATTAAACAAAATTGTCTATACTGTTTAAAATACACTATCCCACCCTGCTCTGCACATGCTCAGTTGCTCTCCATTTTTAGACACTGATGAATTTCTAGAAGCCAATCTGCTGACAGCCTTATGTCCCCGGTCACATCGGGTGCGATTTGGCATGTCAGGTGGCTTGCAATTCGTATGCCAAGTGGCACCCTATTGTCCGCTATTAGAGCGGTCATGTTGGTGCAGCTCCAACTTGCTCAGAGCCGCACCGATTTCTAAAGCAGTACATGCACTACTTTTTGTTGCGATTTGCATAGACATCTGTGTCAGATGTTTTGCAAATCGCAAGGAAGTCGGCAGGTCACCCAATTTTGAAATCATGCGACTTCACTGTAAGTCACACGATTTCAAAATCAGCTTTGATGTGACCGGGGTGTAAAGCGGAATCAAACCCTCCTATCCTTGACACCCAAAAAAGCTGCTTCTGTTTGATCTGCAACTGCCATGGTGCTGCAAGGGTGATCAGTTATGACACCACCCATTTGATAGTTTGACAGTTTGGTTGAGGACACAAGCAAATTTGACAGCAATCCTGGCATTTCAGGAATGTAATTGTTTTTTTTTGTTTTTTCAAACTGTTAAATCGATGGGTTTAGTTCCGCTTTATGATTTACCAATGTTCAGGGGCTCTGGGCTTCAGCAAGAAGAAACAGGAGAAATGTTGGAGACAATTTACAGTACATACGGATTTTGGTAGCAGAATTATTAATATGGATTGTATGTTCCTTGCTAAAGAACATTCTTTATTATCAAGTTGTCACGGGTAAAGTTCCGCTTTGATATTATTGAGTCACAGCGTGGTGCGAGTGTAAAAAAGATGTCAGAATTTCTTACTCAGTTTCAGTTGGTGATTAACCACTTCAATACCGGGTACTTGTACCCCCTTTCTGCCCAGGCCAATTTTCAGCTTTTAGCACTGTCGCTCTTTGAATGACAATTGCGCGGTCATGCAACACTGTACCCGTGTGAAATTTTTATCATTTTTTCACACAAATAGAGCTTTCTTTTGGTGGTATTTAATCATCACGGAGTTTATTATTTGTTAAATAAAACAAAAACCACCTGAAACTTTTGAAAAAAAAAAAAGCACTTTCCTTCGTTTCTGTTATTAAATTAACTTTCTTCATAACTTTAGGTCAAAATTTATTCTGATACATTTCTTTGGTGAAAATAGTAATAATAATTGATGTTTTTTTTTTTTGTTTTTT